ATCCAGATTCATAAAATTGTTCTGTGTACTATTTACGTGTATCTACCCCAAATCTATTTTTGAATATCGCGGTGCTCGGTTACATTTGTTCGGCCAATAGAAACCGTCTATGTGGAAGTTTTCCCGCGCTTTTGGCAACTTGCCAGCCCGTGACCAATGGCGTTAGAGCGCGGGAAGCGGGGGCGGCTTAGCGCTGCGCGTGCGCTGTGTGGGGTTTGAAGAGCTTCAGTTTTTCAGTTAAATTTAGAAGCAGATACCGATGGCCAACTGCAAGATGGTGTACATTTTAGTTTGAATGCTATTTTTTCTACATATTTTTCCAATATAGAATCAACCATGCATATATATATCAGAGAAAAATATAAAATATCCCAATTCAATGTGAAACTTAATAATATCTGTGATAATATTTTTATGAATATTAAAGTCAATTAGTCTAAATACATTTTAGGTAGGTAATCATAATATTTGAATAATCATATTATATGGTTGGAGGTATTAAAAGAGTTTAATATTTTCCAAAGTTTTGGCTTTTCAAAGGTTTTATTTTATTTTCCAGATATTTTAGCTCTTTTCTTATAAGAATTTTCTTAGGAAATAACTAAAATGAGTAGAAAACTTATCAAGAAATATTTCAGAACAGACATTTTTGTAATTTTCTTTATGTTTTTCATTAATTAAAAGCTTGTTGCCGTTCATATTCGGTCGTATAGGTATTATATTGCTTATCTTGCCAATCATTTAAAAATTACCTACACAAAGGCAGATCTTACTTAATTCTACGTAGGTATAAATAAAAATCCAAACTAAAATCGATTAAAACTATTGCAAACTGTTTTCCCCTATCCATGACGAAATAAATTTGTCTTTAACTGCCAGTTGTTTCTAAATAGCGGAAAATTAACACCTTGAGAATGATGAAGAATGTTAAAGAAAAAATAGGTCAAGGTTTCATCGACCAAAATTTGTATTTCCTTTGGTAAAACTTCATAATTTCTGGAAATAATAGGAAAAAAATCTAACATTATTAATTCGATAAATGAACAGCTATGGTTCCAGTACGCATTTCTTGCCAATTTATTAACCACTCAATGTGTTCTTTACATTATAATTCGGGCAGTTGTCTATAGCACGCCGCTGTCGTCGCATTGACACGCTTAATAAATGGTTCAATTATTGCAAATCTTTGGGCCGAAGCCAAGGAGCTCGTGACGTCATTCGGCTGGCTGTATACAATGCACTACTCTCGCACCTAATTAGCGTACGGACAATATGTTGTTATCGGCTATGGTGCCAATATGTGATGAACAATAACCCCGCTCATTGGTTATTCATATCTTTTAGCCTTTCTTGGCAACTTAAATGAAAAATCAGTCGGTTGAACGTTTAGAAGATACATAGATCAAACTTCTTTATAATTTTTTAAGCGAAATTGGAATTGATCCTGTTTTGCAATGAGATTAATAATATGTGCGAGGAAATAGTAAATAATTAAAGTAATAAAAAGTTTCAAAGCACATGGTTGTTTCAGTTACTATAGAAGGACAGAATGTGTGGTTGTTTCTGATTGTATTTCTGGCGTGGGGGATATTAGTCAAACAGCAACAAAAAAAAACGTATTCATTACCTGCTAGTTAAATTAAATTACAAAACCGCAGTCTTCAAAAAATACCCATTGTTATTACCCACGGTATTGTATAAAATAGTAGTTATATAAACTGGTAACGCTACTCTAAAATATACATATCAGGAAATGTCATGTTTGATGCAGATAGCTATAATAATAAAGAATATAGCGACGGGTTTACTTTGAAGAGTGGCGGAATGTGAGAAATGCATGCTGTGTTTGCTTAGCATATCACGAATGCGCTCAGCGCACGCCCAAGGACGTGATGCTAAAATCAACAATATTTGTTGGTCGTGTCAGTGCATCATCTTTGCATAATATGAGATATATTCTCTTGTATTCGAAAACATCGTGAAACGACAAGTTATCTCTCTTTACAAATTTCTCTTGAGTAATTGATAAGTTTTACGTACTTTATTTATTTGATAAAAAAATATTGGACAATATTCCTAATATTTTAATATCAAGGTAACTAAAGTTATGCGGGTTTTAATGAACCCATCCACCTGGTCTCTAAATTAAAGTGTCCAGTCGCAAAAATAGTTGATATGGCAGATAATTTGCCGTTTCATCGATTTTCACTGTGCGGGTCCGAATTCGATGCAATTTACTCCGTGAAGCCCTGCAAACTCCTTCACCAACAGTAATAAAAATGTAAATAAATTCAGTATTAGTTTAGGTTGGCTCTGTGGTTTACTGTAAGTAAGAGCAAAGAGTAGTATTATAGTTTCTTCCCCAGACGAGCGTTTCAATTTCAGCGAATGTGGATTATTGCCCTATTTCTCGAATGGTGATTTCATAAGCGTAAACATGAATTTGTGCATGGAAAACTATGCATAACATCCAATCGAAAATAAAAATTTCAAATTAAAAATCTAAATTATCATCTATGAAATTCTGAAAATGAAATTCAAAATTCTGCCATAATGCGGTTTCCTACATCATTTTTTTTGTATATCCTTGACATTATTAATATAATATTAAATATAAAAACAAGCGGAATATTGGAATTCATACGGTAGTATATAGTAGGAAAAGAAATATGGATGATTCAAAAGAACTTTCTTATCTATATATTTTTATTTCATAACAACTTTACGATAAGCGTGTATTGTTTGTTTTTTGTAAAAATAAACTTGTTTAACTTAAGTAACATCAACAGCGTTGGACTCATACAATGACTGGACTGGGTTCGCACAGCCCTTTTGAAATGAAACTTATCTCGAAATGTGACTCATGAGGTGGAATGCTTTTCTTTTGAATCACAGAGATGCCGCGTCATTCCATCCTTGTGTAAATCTCACGAAATCGGGGATTGTGAAAGAAACAGAAAACGCAATCAATAAAATATGTACAGATGATAAGAATTTCTTATTTCTTGTCAACATGTACCGAAATTTTATAACGCAGTGCTGAGGCAGTGGTACTGAGATATTTGATTATTGCTTTGTTCTTGTAGTGCAGTTGTGTTCTTGCGGCAGTATTTATGTTTCTTTGTAATACAATCAATTTATGTTTGTTGGCAATACGATCAGATTTGGAAGACAAAATTAAATAAATAATTAATTACCTACTTTGTGAAGTCATAAATATATTTCGTTGAAATTTTGAATTTCGATTTCCGTGTTTAGACGAAAGGAGAAGAAGCTAATTTAAAGTGAAAGGAAAGAATTCTAGTAAATTCTTCAAATTACTTCTTTTTTATTAAAGACAATTTTATTTTGTCTTTATAAAATTTATTTAATAACTGATCCTCTATACCTCTAATATTATCAAAATATGCAAAGGATACATTTAAATAACATATTATACAACGAAGTATTATAAAATAAAAAAATACAATTATAATTAAAAATTACTATACTTTTCAGACACTAGCATTATTGTGTACCTTCCAAGGAATTAAAATTACATTTATTAAAAAGGATACAATTACCTTTCTATTATTAAAAAACTGAGCTAATCTCGAAATATTTCAAGATCTGTTTTGAGATTACAGAACACTATTTACATATTTAGATGTGAAGAAAATAGGAATAATTTTTAATGATTAGTTATGCAGTGAATGAAATGAAATAATTTTAATTCTCCGCTGCAACACAACTACACAATAAAACTACTACAAATAAATACTTTATGCCAGATCCGTATTTTTATTAATGGCCAGTTTTTGTTATTTAGTATTTGTTATTTTTCTTCATTTCCAGTGCAGTTTCATTGCTCGATAAAAATAGCGTAAAGAATTACAGTTTCACTGATTGTTAAAACTGCTCCGTCACCCGTTGCCGTCTCGGCCAGGTTTCTGACCTTTGCATTCGCGACAATTAGATAAAAAAATGCTTGTCTGCTTCGATGTGATTGTTACTAAGAGTTGAAAACAATTTTCCGGTTAATTCCTTTTCATTAAGACGCGAACGCTATTCAACTGTCACATTGCTACGAACATAATACGATGATAAATGTTTTGACCTATTGTTTTGTAGCTACTTTTGGTAGGATTATTGAGAATTGGTGGAAGTTTAGGGTCCTTAAGTATGGTATTGCTCCACGCAGTATGGCACTCGACCATTCGGTATTGAAATAAGCCTAAGCCCACGTTTCTAAGATCAATGCACCTTCGGTTCCATAAATAGCCTAATGTGCATACTGTCACTGAGATTTTATTTCGTAACACAAACACAAAGGGTCAATATAGACGAAAGTAATATTGACCAGTGTTTCATCATATAAAATATGCGAGTGCATTTATATTTATATTTAAAAAGACTTTTAAAATTAGAAATGTGTTTTTAGTTTTTATAAAGGACGAATGTAAAATATCTTTTAAAATTGCTCAATACAAGAATGCATCAACTCAGCTCGATGATAGTTTCGAATGGAAATAATACTAATCCTCTTTTCTGTGATTATTTTTAATTCGCGGCATATCCTTTAATACTTCGAGTAAGGCAGTAAAGATTATTTCCTTTTTCTAAGTGGAGAACTTTTATTCCAATGTTTAAAATAAAGATGACGAAAACTAGTTGGACATACAAAACCTTTTCGACTCTAATGGGTTGTTGCTAAATTATTTAATTTATAGGGCAGGATGTATTTACTTAAGGACAACTGAGTGGCGTTTCTCTGCTAATCCCTTTTCAAACAGACCTTAAAATATAAAAAGATAAATCAAAGAAACATCTTTTTGCGGGATTTTTGTATTTTGCAAGTTACTTCTTAGGTCGTTTATAAGTTCAGTGGAAGAACATTTGTCCAGACAGCAAAAGGTGCAGGATTATATCATGCTCTTTTTTTGATCAGTTAAAACTTTCTCAAAGAATAATTTTGTTTGCAGCTTTTCACATAGGGGAGTAGAACAAAAAAAGCCGCCACCATGGACGCGATCAAGAAGAAGATGCAGGCGATGAAGCTGGAGAAGGACAATGCCCTCGACCGCGCCGTCATGTGCGAACAGCAGGCCAAGGACGCCAACCTCCGTGCCGAGAAGGTATTAAGAACTTTTTGAAATCACTAAACCTTTTAAATGAAGATTAAAATCACGGCTGCCACCCGCGGATCTAGGATTTCTCTGCCAGAAAACTCTGTTCGAACTAAGAAGGTATACGAACTCTTCGCTTATCTTCTTAAAGTAAAGAAAAAATAAATCAATGCCAATATTTGAACTAAATAGGATTTCGCTACGTGTGTGTCTTCATGTTTCCTTTTTAATATAACTCATAAAAAGCACCTCGGTTGCTTAGAATATTAGTAAATAAAAAAAACAAAAGGACATTTCAGATTTTAACTAAAATGAAGTGCATAGTTCGATTATTTTTGAATTATATTAAAAACAAAGAGAAAGAAAATAAGAAGCTCTGACATCTTTTCTTAGGAAAAAAAGCAATAAAATAAACAACAGAAATTTGGTTATTATTATTTTTTGTTTGTTTTTAATATAGGAACTAAGAAAAAAATAAGCTTAAAAAGTAATGTAAGCAGAAAAATTAAGCATCGGTAAATACCAAAAGGTTTTTTTTATATATTATTATACGTTTTATAGATTTAAGCTTTTTAGAGTTTTGAGTATGTGTATTCTTAAAATAAAATCATAAGTAGGTACGTTTTTATTATAAACAACAAATGTTAAAGTATTGTATGTTCTGAACATGAACCAAAAATTCTATTATAATGCATATCTGATATTGTTTATTTTGATTAATGTGTTGCTGGAATAAACATTGACAGGACATAATTTTCTGCTATGAGAAAATTATCAGTTTTTTTATCACTTTTTACTATTTAATCAATATTTGCAAGTTAGAAATGTGAATAATTTTGTCACAAATTAAAACATAAACTTGTAAAGCACATGTAATGATTTCTATAAATTATTTATGTAAAAATATTTGTATACTATTGATCTGTTTCTATTTTGGAGCGTTTAACTCACAACATGACAGCTTCATCGATAATGTGGTGTAAAGTAATAGTTTTCTCACACAAACTTGCAAAAAAAGGTGTAAAATAATAGTTCTCTCCTACAAATATGCAAAAAATAAGGTTAAATATTTGTTTTTTCATATAAATTTGCAAAAAATAGTGTAAAATAATAGTTTTTCTGTTACAAATATCTAAAAAATAAGGTTAAATATTTGTTTTTTCATATAAATTTGCATAAAAATGGTGTAAAATAATAGTTTACTCATAAAAATTTGCGAGAAATGGCGTAAAATATTAGTTTTCTCAAATATTATTCAAATATTCAAAAAATGTTGTAAATTAAGTATTTTATCTTACAAACGCATAAAGTGGCATAAAATAATTATGATATCAGTGAAATAGATGGATGTTGGTATTAAAATGTCTTCTGTCATATTGATAGGCCGAGGAAGAGGCGAGACAGCTGCAGAAGAAGATCCAGACCATCGAGAATGACCTCGACCAGACCCAGGAGGGGCTCATGCAGGTCAACGCCAAGTTGGAAGAGAAGGAGAAGGCTCTGCAGAACGTGAGTACCATTAACTATATCTTATCCTCCCCCCCCCCACCTCCTTCATAACACGGGAACCTTTAAAAGAGACGTGAAGAAGCACATTGCAGGCCGGCAAGGTGAGGATGGCTGGTGTGGCAGGTAAAACTACTGCACCAGCTATCTTCATCATCATCACCCTATTAATGTCCCCACTGCTAGGGCACAGGACTATGGATGGAATCCTAAAGCCAAGCTATCTTCGCGTCAGGAAACCCGATCACCTTAATATGATTGCGAGTGAACCAAAATAAGAAATCTTTATGAAAGCAAGCATATTTTAATCCGCATCCGTCAAATGCAAATCTATTTCAAGAAAAACATTTTCGGGTAATTATTAAGTGACAACGACTACGCCTGGTAAAAAATATTTTCTTAATACAGTTTTATTAACCCCTATTACCAACCCCTTTTAACAATTTTTTATGCTATAAAAGGGGTAGCCTAGCTTCTTTAGGATTTCATCTGTACTAAATAATTGTAGAAATATAATTGTATATGTATCATAACATCTCAGCCTTGTGTTCAACACCTGTAGTCCTCCCTACGTAATACTTGCTACTATCGGGATTGTTTTATAAACTATCGAAGCCCTCCAAAAGAATAAATAAATAATCATTTCTTACACTTACACACACTACACCAATAAGTCAAGTCCCAAAATAATTAGAACAAATAAGTTAATGTAACACTTATGTTTTGGGATACTAGAGTAACGGATAGATATACACAAAGGTTACAAATACATAGACTAGACAAGTAATTTTTTGGAGAAATATTTATAAACATAACAACCATGGCTCGGGTACATCGGCGCGTATTCATCGTACAAACATTTTTGGTACAGAAGAATGAAAAACTATATGAGAATAACCCATTCAGTCCTACTGGGATTATAACTCAGGACCCAGAGAAAGCGACACGAGATGTGTTAACCGATAACAATGGCAATGGTGCCACTTTAAGAACTTGTGATATGCCTTCAGGTATAATAAATTCAGATAGTCCAGCTGATGCTTCTCATACCTATGTAAACATCGGATGTCTTTTTTGTACATCCGCTCTAGATAAGACTTCAACGCATGCAAATTTTTGTAAACAACATCCGAGTGCGTAGCAGCACGTACCAATTTGGCAGAAAATAATAACATCTTACTTCAATAACTTTATGATAAAGGAACGTTTATTTTTTGTTTTGTTTCATCATGAAATAAGTTATGTTGCGAATGCATGCGATGGCATTCAATTTAAAATGTGTGTCAGTGCAACGTAACACCCTGCGGCAACAGCCGTGACCCATCGACCGACGAAGTGACCATTTTCGATATCTGAATTATTTAAATTTAAACCGACTAATTGAAGCTTAAATTATAAATGATAATATAAGTTTTTCAGTATCCGGTAAAGATTTTGTGAAGTTTTTTGGCAATTAATGTAACGTAACGAGTTCGCTGACAGTATGACAGCACACGTCCTTCTTCTACATTGATCGGGAGTGTCGTAATTTATTGAAGCAGGTTCACATCTGGTGCATGCTTTCAGTCTGTCGGTACGCCACGTTGCCTGGCTGCGTTCTCGCGTTATTTCGGGGCTCGACACCTAATATGGGCGCCTTGCCCGCTTTCTTGGGTAAAAATAGACATAGCACCCGGTCGCGCCGCCGAGGGCGCACCTATGATCGTGTATGACCGCACGCGATTTACGGGAAACATTTAACATTCCACAAATTTCGAAAGATTATCAAGACTCTTCACAAATTTCGATAGATTATCAAGACTTTTAAAAAATTCCTTATTCAAATTTAAAGTTTTTTTTATATACGTGCCTTTTTTTAGTCATGTGTATTTGTTTTTCGCGGTTACTAAGAAAGAGGTTTGAATTTTACCGCGTGTTACTTATCAACAAACAAGTGCGGCAACGTCGGTAAAACAGTTTGATAAAAGAAAAGATGGCCGTTTGACAAGAGCGACGGCAGCGCCAGCGTGTTGTAGGTCTCGGTTGCCAGTCAACATGGCGGCCGCCAGTGCGCGGCCGGACGGACCGCGCCGCGCTTAGCAATGTCCACGACCGGGCGCGCCCCCGTGCGGCGCAGGGGGCACCAACACCACCCGCGGCTGAGGGGCGACCGCAAGCCCGCCCCCAGCGCGCCCTCCGACACCGATCCGTCCAACAGAGTGACCTTAGATACCCAAACAAACGATGTTGTGCCTTGTGTCAATAGTGTTAGTGAATCTCAACAAGTGACAAGGACGAATAGTGACGATGCACTTTCGAATCGAAACATAGTCGAGGACTTTGCGAATTTTGACGATGATATCGACTTTGACGATAGAATTGGCGGTGCAGAACCTCGTGATAGCTCAGACGACGATTTCTCGTTTAGAAACGAGCGGTCGGCCGGAGACGGGGCTGAGGTGACCGCCGTAGCCTGTGATAATTCAGATGATGACCCTGAGACTGCAGAGTTAGCGAAATTGAGATGTACTAGTGTATGCACCGAAGTATTAGCTGAGAGAGAGAATCGACGGAGGCGGAGATGCGCCGATTACCCGGGCCTGGCGTTCGGCAGTTCCATATTCTCGTCAGACACGATGATGAAATTTTCCATAATAAAAAACGAATTGCAGAACATCAAGAATACGGCTTTAAAAAGGGTAATGCACTCATTATTCTAGTTAGCATTGTATTGTGTGAGCGTGAGTCAGGCGTGAGCCAAATGCGCACGGTACTATTTTTGATCCAGATTCGTCTATTGTTGATGATGGTGGTGGCTGAGCTGTGAGCATCTCGCGTGCCTATCAGCTGAGCCACTGACATTTCGTTTGACATGTTTACTTGGACGATTATATTCACGGCCGCTAGATGTCACAGTTATCGATGTGCGCACGTGGTCTCGACCCTATTCCTAATTGGAATCATATCTTTGTTAAACGGTTGAGTGATAAACTCATCTAACATAATAAACATTGAATAAATATTCCATTAGCTTTGAAACAAAGAACAGTGAACTAACCTAGGTTGAACTCACTGTGTTAAATTGTGAAATACTACTTGTACACCTACACTAGATTTTACAATGAGACAATAATAATTTAATTCATATGTGAACATTTAGAGTAGAATAAATAAATGATATTAGTTCTTGGCATTATAAACACCAGTTATCTAATTTCACCAAATTCACGATTGTAAAACCCCTAGTTTATTTTTCTTGTATTGAAGATTACTTGTTGAAATTACGAAATCAGTACAGTATTACTGGTTGATGTCTACCTCAAAGAACTTCGCGAGTTTTACAACTTTCTAAATTATTCATGAACAAACACATTTTATGTATACGTATACGTTTGTTGTACTTACCTAACTAAAGAGATGTGCTTATAAGAATACGTGCGAAAATGTTATCGATAGTTGTGTATTTTATACTGAATCTCTTTTTGTATTGTCTAACAAAATCATTATTAATAGGTAAAACAAAATTAAACTACTAGTAGCATAATTAAACTACATATATCAGAAAATGAATTCAGAAAGTTAAAAGTTTTTTTATAAAATTATTCATTTGAAATAACACTCAAATGTATAAAAACTAAATAACGTTTACACTAATATGTATTCGAAACAAACTATGAAGGTGAAAAGAAATACTGACATAAGAACATCAATAACGTCAAATTGTGGCCAATAGAGCGACACGAAACATTTTTGAAATTGAAAAACATAAGAAAATTATTATAAGGCAAGAGTGTGTTGGTTCGAGATTCAAAATTTGAAACTACAAAAGAACAACATCTTCTCTGCATGACTCGTAAGTCATGTTAATTACAGTTGAGAGATCTTGAGTTTTACTTAGGTACTTTCAACGGGTACTTAAGCTAAAATAGTTAAGCTCCAATTAGCGCCATGACCACATCAAATTTTTCCATAACGGATGAATTTGAAGCCAATGTTATTTTTAGAATAGTTGTTGTTTTTAAAAAAGTAACAAAACATAAAACATCAAATTTTGAAAAATTTGGCCGGCATATAATTACGGGATGATGGAATGATAAAATTTCGATTCAAAATATGGTTTTATCATGCTCACTCTAAAATGGATAGCTTTAAAACGATAATTATCATAGATGAACTAAACTATTTTGTTACTTTAATTAAGTTACTCTATTAATAATTGTATAAATGGCGTGTTTTCAGAACGGAAGTATTAATTACAGCAATTACCTACCTCAAATTTATACGTTCAATACTCAAGAGATTACAAAAGAAGTTTCCACATTATTTTGGGGACAGGATGCAGTCAAAGTAAAATATATTTTTTTTACAATTTTAGGATTTATATCAGACGTGATAAGGTTACAAAATTTATCGGAGTAATTTTGATTGGGTCAGTGTAACTTTCAGCAGTAAATTATTACATATAAGTTTGGGCATCATGAATAAAATGGATGCTGTGTGTGCCCATAAAAGAGATGTAACAAGATTTTTCTTTGATTAATGGTCAATGGTCATATGGCACAAGACATGATGAGGGACCGTTGACCAACTTTCTATAAAAAACATACGTTAATTTCGTTTGAAAATTGCTCACTGAGTTAAACGTATATACTTTTTTTATCGATTCATTAACTATCAGCTTTAGTTGAGTAATTAGTTAATGATGTAACACGATGTCTCGTTTAGGTTTATCTATGTTTACGCGACCGCCAGCTACTGAATACGAAAAGATCTCTCAATATGTTAGTTAACCTATTCCTAAATCAGAATTCAATTATTATTTTTACCTAATATTTTTATATAGTATTTTTTCTAAATGTTTGCAAAAATACTTTGCAAATTATGCATGAAAAGTGTCAAGGTCAATAAAATTTATCTTACCTACGCTATTTGCAGTTCTCTAATAATCTGAGTCATGTACGCTTTGGTACGTAGATATGCATGATTGTTATAGTTTTCTGTCACGTACCTATATCTCTGACATT